CCATCCCATCCCAACCTTCCTCACATTTACCAACATAATCACGAGGACTTATCCAGACAACAGATCTAAAAGACGGTATTATCATCATCACCGAGACGACAGAGAGTAGTGTGAGGGTCAATTGTCATCAGAGTAAATTGTCTGGTTTCCCCTGACGCGAACGTGCTTAGGTGTGTGTGTGTGTGTGTGTGTGTGTTTGATTCTCACCACCACACACACAATATCAAGCCTATAATTGGATGGGAAACATGCATAAATATATACTTACAATGTATACATATGCGTGACATGAATAATGACAATGAGGGGTGGAAAGATGGCAAGTCATTGTTTAAAGGAAAAATAATAGTGTGTATTATTATTATTATTATTATTATTATTATTATTATTATTGGTACTTTAGGGAGAGCGTTCGGGTACCTGCTATATTACACCAATTTGTCCGTGACGTAAAAGTACAGGTGAAATCAACGCCTCCAGGTTAATAAAGGGGTTTCCCAGGGCAGGTTAATTAGGTGTTTAGGGCAGGTTAATTGGTGTTTCCAGGGCAGGTTAATTAGGTATTTTCAGGGCAGGTTAATTAGGTATTTTCCAGGGCAGGTTAATTCGGTGGTATTTTGGTCAGGTTAATGGTTATAGACACTGGTTAAGGCTGAACAATTTAACGCCATATTAACATACTTATAACATATTTTAACGTAACAGACTTCATCCTCACACCCTAAGGCCACATTAACATACTTTAACATAATTTATCCCCACACTCTTTAACGCCACATTAAAATACTTTTAACATAATTTAACGTAACAGACTCTATCCTCACACCCTAACGCCACATTAACATACTTTAACATAATTTATCGCGACATTATGAATCGTCAAGTAATTTTAACACAATTATTTTGGTGCATTATAATCGTTACCAGAATATTTATAAGACTAATTATCTGTTAACCTTCACCCACCCACCTGGCTGCCCCCCACCACCCACCCACCCACCCACCTGGCTGCCCCCCACCACCTACCTACCACCCATCTACCCCACTATCTCACCTACCCCTCCCTCACCTGCCCCCCTACCTGGTGATTTATGGCAGCGGTGTTCAAGTGACGTGACGTAACCTTCTCCAGTAATAACAAGTTGTGTGTTGTAAGTTGTCTTAAGTAAAAGTCTAAAAAGAGATTTAAGTATTACACTTATGGGATTCACATATAACGGATCTTCCATATAACGGACTTTCTTCTCCATATAGTCCGTTAACTAGAGGTTTCACATAACGAAACCTCCATATAACGGACTTTTCATCTCAATATAGTCCAAAGTAATAAAGATTCCACTGTACACATATATGATTAAGTTCACCTGGCCAAGAGAACTTCCCGCAGTGTCTAACCCACCTACCCCACCTGTGCTAACCCACCAGGTAGCACACCCAACTAACTAACGATTTAAGTTAATACAGGAAATTACCAAGATGCATAAGTGTTGCCGGCCATTATTACCTAAGGTCATATACGCGTAATTGTACACTAAACAATGTAGGAGCTAATGGTTGTTCATAGTGTGTTGGTGTTACTGTTGTTGGTATTATTGTTATTATTATTGTTATTGTATAGTTAATATTTATTATATTAGTTGTTATTGCATTGTTGTTACTGTTGTTATTGTTATTATCACTGTTGTTAGTTATTATTACTGTTGTTGTTGTTGTTGTATTTTGTTTATTATTGTTATTAGTATTAGTTATTAATATTAGTTGTTATTGTTATCATTATTTACTGTTGTTATTGTTATTATCACTGTTGTTAGTTATTATTACTGTTGTTGTTGTTGTTGTTATTGTTACCAGGCCACCATACAGTGAGCACCAAAGTATAACTATACACAGTCATACAACACAACACAGTATTAGTAAACATCTGCAATAGTCAAGGTTGGTTTCGTGTCTTATGCAGTCATAAATAATGTACTGTAGCACTCCCCTAACCCCCCACCACAACCCCTATATTTCACGCCACCCGCACCCCACCCCACCCCAAGACCCGCACCCACCCCAGGACTCCACCCCACCCCCCAGGACTCCCCACCCCTCCCCACAGAACTCCCACCCCACCCCACCACATTTCAAGATTTTCCCAAAGCTTGTATACCATAATGTGTTCAACAGTACATATTGAACAGATAACATGAACAGCGGATCACGGGTCTGAGGACTCTGAACAAACACCTTCCTCGCTAAAATAAAACGCTACAAAAACTAAAACCTGAATAAAACCACAATGAGAGTTAAATTATTGCAAAATATAGAAAAATGTAAATTGAAGTTTTAAAACCTTCCTCCTCACTAACTACTCACCTGGCTGGCGTTAACAACCTCTTTAACTACTACTACTGCTGTTAGTGCTTCAGGTGGCGTCTGACGAACGATCAACGCGTCAGTGACATAATTACACCTCAATTATCACGGATTATTATTGCATATAATTATCAGCGTGTGGTGGCATCTCTCAGTGACTACCTCATGTACAGTAATTATTGCTTTTAATATACCACCTGGGTCTGTTCCCACACACACACACACCTGGCTCTACACGCTACATACACACACACACACACCTGGCCTCTACAGCCACACACACACACACACACACACACACACCTGGCTCTACACCTACACACACACACACTAGCTCTACACACACACTCACACACAGACAGACGGATGCTAAGACCATTCAATAGTAACATTAAAACTATAAAGGAAATTGACTCACTATAAGGAACACACGATACACAACACTAGATGATGAATGACGCAACACTAGATGAATGACGCAACACTAGATGAATGACGCAACACTAGATGATGAATAAGAGAGATAAATAATTACAAGATACAGAAGGTTATTTGACGAAGGGAAAATAAAATCGTGAAATTGAAAACTAAATATTACCATAATGGAAGGTGTAATGGTTATGTTATATTAGAATACCGGGGTTGTCTCTCCTCTCTCACACAGTATAATTCAACTACACAGGCGGAACATCTTACCCTACACAGAACCCGACCCAGTTTTGTACTAACATTACGGGTTAGGTTAGGAAGAATGAACTTAGGTTAGGTTAAGTTAGATAAGTGAAGTTAGGTTAGGTTATGTGAGACACGGTAAGGTAAGGCTAAGTAACGAAAGGTAAGATTAATTTAGGTTAGGTTAAACTACGGTGGTAGAATCCTGTAGGAGGCAGGACTACGGGTCGGGGTAATCCTGTAGTAGGAGGCAGGGACTACGGGTCGGGGTAATCCTGTAGGAGGCAGGGACTACGGGTCAGGGAATCCTGTAGGAGGCAGGACTACGGTCGGGGTAATCCTGTAGTAGGAGGCAGGACTACGGGTCGGGAATCCAGGAGGCAGGGACTACGGGTGTAATCCTGTAGTAGGAGGCAGGACCGGGTCGGGGTAATCCTGATAGGAGGCAGGGACACGGGTCAGGGGTAATCCTGTAGGAGGCAGGGACTACGGGTCAGGTAATCCTGTAATAGGAGGCAGGGACTACAGGTCGGGGTAATCTGTAGTAGGAGGCAGGGACTACGGGTCGGGTAATCCTGTAGTAGGAGGCACAGGCGGTCCTGAGGAGGCAGGACTCGGTCGGATCCTGAGGAGCAGACTACGGGTCGGGTAATCCTGTAGTAGGAGGCAGGGACTACGGGTCAGGGTAATCTGTAGGAGGCAGGGACTACGGTCGGTAATCCTAGTAGGAGGCAGGGACTACGGTCGGGGTAATCCTGTAGGAGGCAGGGACTACGGGTCGGGGTAATCCTGTAGGAGGCAGAGACTACGGGTCGGGTAATCCTTGGGAGGCAGGGACTACAGGTCGGGGTAATCCTGTAGTAGGAGCAGGGACTACGGGTCGGGGTAATCCTGTAGGAGGCAGAGACTACGGGTCGGGGTAATCCTGTAATAGGAGGCAGGGACTACAGGTCGGGGTAATCCTGTAGTAGGAGGCAGGGACTACGGGTCAGGGGGTAATCCTGTAGGAGGCAGGGACTACAGGTCGGGGGTAATCCTGTAATAGGAGGCAGGGACTACGGGTCGGGGTAATCCTGTAATAGGAGGCAGGGACTACGGGTCAGGGTAATCCTGTAGGAGGCAGGGACTACAGGTCGGGGTAATCCTGTAGTAGGAGGCAGGGACTACAGGTCAGGGGTAATCCTGTAGGAGGCAGGGACTACAGGTCAGGAGTAATCCTGTGGGAGGCAGGGACTACGGGTCAGGGGTAATCCTGTAGTAGGAGGCAGGACTAGGGTCAGGTAATCCTGTAATAGGAGGCAGGGACTACGGGTCAGGGTAATCCTGTATGGAGGCAGGGACTACGGTCAGGGTAATCCTGTATAGGAGGCAGGACTACGGGTCGGGGTAATCCTGTAGGAGGCAGGGACTACGGGTCAGGGTAATCCTGTAATAGGAGGCAGGGACTACGGGTCGGGGTAATCCTGTATAGGAGGCAGGGACTACGGGTCGGGGTAATCCTGTAATAGGAGGCAGGGACTACGGGTCAGGGGTAATCCTGTAGGAGGCAGGGACTACGGGTCGGGGTAATCCTGTAGGAGGCAGGGACTACGGGTCGGGGTAATCCTGTAGGAGGAGGCAGGGACTACGGGTGGGGTAATCCTGTAGGAGGCAGGGACTACGGGTCAGGGGTAATCCTGTAATAGGAGGCAGGGACTACGGGTCGGGGTAATCCTGTAATAGGAGGCAGGGACTACGGGTCAGGGTAATCCTGTAGGAGGCAGGGACTACGGTGGAATCCTGTAGTAGGAGCAGGACTACGGGTCGGGTAATCCTGTAGGAGGCAGGGACTACGGTCGGGGTAATCCTGTGGAGGCAGGGACGGCGATCCTAGGAGGCAGGACTACGGTCGGGGTAATCCTGTAGGAGGCAGGGACTACGGTCGGTAATCCTGTAGGAGGCAGGGGCGGTAATCGGAGGCAGGGGTACTTGAGCCTTGGAGCAGGTTCCCGGGGCCGTCCACCGTGACCTTGATGGCTTTACAGTAGGTGGTGACCTGAGGCGGTGACGTACTGATGGTGATGGTCAGGTTAAGCTCTTTCCTGTAGGTGAGAGAGAGAACACCTGTTATTGCTGCTGCTACTGTTGTTACTGTTGCTTCTGTTGTTACTGTTACTAATGTTATTACTGTTACTGCTGTTGATACTGTTGCTACTGTTATTACTGTTACTGCTGTTGATACTGTTACTACTGTTGTTACTGCTGCTACTGTTGTTACTGCTGCTACTGTTGTTACTGCTGCTACTGTTGTTACTGCTGCTACTGTTACTAGTGTTGTTACTGCTGCTACTGTTATTAGTATTATCTGACTTACCACTGTCTACACGAGAGAGAGAGAGAGAGTGTGTGTGTGTGTATGATCAAACTTACAACAATACAATCGAAAAAAGTAAACATTAAACAAAACAGACCAGTATGTGTCCCAGCTGTCCGCCGCCCACGATCAAGTTGTTTAGTTTTCAATTCTGGGAAGACATATTGTGTCGCCCTCTGTGTGTGTGTGTGTGTGTGTGTGTGTGTGTGTGTGGGGAGGGATGGAAAGGAAGGGATAGGGGAGGAAAGGATAGGGGTGAGGGGAGATAAAGGGAGAAGGGAAGAGGAGAAAGAGGGGGAGGGAGAGGGTGCGGGGAATGAGGGAAGGGAAGGAAGGGAGAGAGGAGGGAGAAAGAAGGGAAGGGGAAAGTGAGAGGGTGGGAGGAAGGGTTCACACACTCACTCCAACTTGATATTGAAACAGTTTATTTAGCCAGTATAACACAGATACAGAGTGGATAATAATAACAATATTACATGGGTGAGCCAGTTGAGAACCTGAGCTGCACCTGATATATACTGTACATTTATCACAAGGAAGTATTATGTAACATTTAGTATCATCTGGAATAGTACACACAGCTTGGTGGTGGTAGAACATATCAGAATGTTACCACGGTTATCTCTTCGAAAATAATTTGTATTTTTTTACATTTCTATTATGAGTATATACATATGTTACAGGGTGTTGATGTACATGAGAGAGGAAGCACAGAACCAGCTGTTGTCACGGACTGGGTGAGTAAACGTTTGTGAGTACAGACAACGGAAGGCGTTATCAAGTGTCTGTCCACGTGGTTCTCGTTATCTCCTCCTCGTCTGGTGTACGTTTGTCTGTTTGTCTGGCCAGCTCGCTCGTTTGGCCAGGTCATTCGTCTGGCCAGGTTATTCGTCTGGCCAGGTCACTTGTCTGGCCTGGAGGAATGAAGTTAAGATAGTGACAACCTCAAGGCCTCTACGAATGATGACCTTACACACACACACACACACACACACACACACACACACACACACACACACACACACACACACACACACACACACACACACACACGTTGCGGTGGTCAAGTATCTGTCACAAACATTTATATTTTCAGGAGGAAAAAAACACGAGATGTAAAGCAAAAACTTGGCCAGGAGGTGTAGTATGGAGGTGTATAGCACGGTGAGGAGGAGGCTGCTGTACTGTTCTCGTATGCTTGTACAGTAAAGGCTCTACACTCTACAGGTTATTGAGGAGAGCCGGTTTTTAATAGAGTTGCAGCCGTTGGCTGAAAATATACAAACTTTCATATGATTTAGACATAATGATATAATATGCATTGAATACATTTACAGGGCTGTACAGTACATAAATCAGGAGTTGTTTATTATTTTAACAATAAATGGGATGGTACTATTCTTATATCTATCAGTGCGGGCCCTTATGGGCTGAATTTTGTTGTAGTGGCGGACTGCGCAAGGTGGGTGGGAGGCGAGGGTGGTGCAGTAGTTGGCTGCCAAACCTTTCCAGTACTTGGTGGTGGAGGTCACTGAGGGATGGCATTTCCAGGGTGGAGAGAGCGTTGGTGTAGCCGAAGTATTCTGCGCCGAGCATGATTCTGCAGGCCCTTTTCTGTACCTTCTCTAGCTGACCTTGTTGTATGTATGTATGTGTGTGTGTGTGTGTGTGTGTGTGTGTGTGTTACGTCAGCAGTAGGACCACAGGGTGGCAGAATAGGGGCTAGGGGAGGGAGGAGAACAGGAAATGGGAGGACGGGGAGGTACGGGGAAGGGGACAGGGGGAAAGGGAAGGGGACGGGGAGGGGACGGGGAAGGGTAGGGGACGGGGAAGGTAGGGGACGGGAGGGGAGAGAATGGGGGCAAGGCGGGGCGAGACGGGGGAGGGCTGAGTCACGCACCTAACATTACCAACTCACATCATTGTTTTGAAGAATAATGAAATCCCTGTAAGATGACACCTTCCTGCCCATGTGCTATGGGCGCGTCGTGTGTGTGTGTGTGTGTGTGTGTGGTAGGCACTGTATAGTAAGTGTGAGGGAGGTGTGGCTGTGTGAGGGTGGTGTGTCTCTGTGAGGTGGTGTGGCTGTGTGAGGTGGTGTGGCTCTGTGAGGGTGGTGTGGCACTGTCTGCAGGGTGACTCGTGCAGAACGCCAGTGTGTGTGTGTGTGTGTGCAGCGGATCTCCAAGAGGCCCCGGCATGACACCAAGGTATATACGTCACTAACCGTCTTACACCATTTATGGCGTAAGTATTATGGTGTAAATAATTATATAAATATATATATAGATTATTTAAAGCTTCGGCGATGCTTTAACCCTTTGAAGATGATGATTAAACCCGTCAACAGCAACACCACCCCACCCCCACCACCAACAACAACAATAACCACAACCACCACCACCAACAACAACAACAACCACAACCACCACCATCAACAATAACCACAACCACCACCACCACCACCACCAACAACCACCACCACCACCAACAACAATAACCACAACCACCACCACCACCAACAACAATAACCACAACCAACAACACCAACCACAACCACCACCACCAACCCAACCACCACCACCATCCCCAACAAGTCAAGATAAGTGTTGTTGGAAATCTTGTTATTGATTCACCTGTCTGGTTAAACTCATGGAAGGTTTGTTTCTCATCGACGTCGCGTGCTGCCAGATATATTGTGTTGTATTGTACAGGTGATGGTCGGACACACACACGAGGAGATATAAGCAACTCTATAACTGATAATTAGTTATTTTTATGATGAAAGATGCCAGAACAACAGACACTCTCCTTGCCCCCTGCCTCTTGCCCATACCTGCCCCTTTCTCCCTAACCCCTTGCCCATACCTGCCCCTTCCTCCTCTAACGCCCTGCCTACATCTGTTTCCCTTACCTATTGCCCACACCTGTCTCCTTCATCCTTTCCTTCCCCCTTGCCCACCTGTCTCCTTCATCCTTCCTTCCCCTTGCCCACACCTGTCTCCTTCATCTTCCTTCCCCTTGCCCACACCTGTCTCCTTCATCCCTTCCTTCCCCCTTGCCCACACCTGTCTCCTTCATCCCTTCCTTCCCCTTGCCACGCTTGTCTCCTTCATCCCTTCCTTCCCTTGCCCACCTGTCTCCTTCATCCCTTCCTTCCCCTTACACCTGTCTCCTTCATCCCTTCCTTCCCCTTGCCCACACCTGTCTCCTTCATCCCTTCCTTCCCCCTTGCCCACTTACCTCCTTTCCCTCTCCCCACCCCCCTTCCCTTCCCGACCACAAGACCAGAATTAGGTCTCCTCCTAACACATCTATCTCCTTTCCTGATTGGCTGACACCTAAACCTCCCTCAACTTTTCTCCTCTGTGATTGGCTGACACCTAAACCTCTCTCAAACACGAAGAATGATTGGCTACAGACCGCAAATTACTCTTACACGTCACACAGGGTTAAGAGCATAAGAAGTACACAGAGGAGCATCAGTAACAAGGAACATTTATGATACTAGTACAGTGAAACCTCTATTTAACGGACTATATAGAGATGGAAAGTCCATTATAACAAGGTTTTGTTGATGTGAAACCTCCATTTAACGGACTATATGGAGATGGAAAAGTCCAAAAAAAACTACATGTAAACGAATAAAACTTAACCCATACGACACACACACACACACACACACACACACACACACACACACACACACACACACACACACACACACACACACACACACACACACACACACACACACACGCACAGAAGCTTCTGGTTTAAAAGAGTATTCTGGAAGCCAAAACATAATACTCTCAACATTGTAAGTAATAGGGAGTACAATACAACAGGATAGGAACAGTAAGGATAGAAGCACAGCAGGACAGAAGCACAGCAGGATAGAAGCACAGCAGGATAGAAGCACAGCAGGATAGAAGCACAACAGGATAGAAGCACAACAGGATAGAAGCACAGCATAGAAGCACAACAGGATAGAAGCACAACAGGATATAAGCACAACAGGATAGAAGCACAGCAGGATAGAGGCACAGCAGGATAGAAGCACAGCAGGATAGAAAGCACAACAGGATAGAAGCACAACAGGATAGAAGCACAACAGGATAGAAGCACAGCAGGATAGAAGCACAACAGGAAGAAGCACAGCAGGATAGAAGCACAGCAGGATAGAAGCACAGCAGGATAAAGCACAGCAGGATAGAAGCACAGCAGGATAGAAGCACAACAGGATAGAAGCACAACAGGATAGAAGCACAGCAGGATAGAAGCACAACAGGATAGAAGCACAACAGGATATAAGCACAACAGGATAGAAGCACAGCAGGATAGAGGCACAGCAGGATAGAGGCACAGCAGGATAGAACCACAGCAGGATAGAACCACAACAGGATAGAAGCACAGCAGGATAGAAGCACAGCAGGATAGAACCACAGCAGGATAAGAAGCACAGCAGGATAGAAGCACAACAGGATAGAAGCACAACAGGACAGAAGCACAGCAGGATAGAAGCACAACAGGATAGAAGCACAGCAGGATAGAAGCACAACAGGATAGAAGCACAACAGGACAGAAGCACAGCAGGATAGAAGCACAACAGGATAGAAGCACAACAGGATAGAAGCACAACAGGATAGAAGCACAACAGGATAGAAGCACAACAGGATAGAAGCACAGCAGGATAGAAGCACAACAGGATAGAAGCGATGAAGCACA